ACTGCGGGCTTGGAAGTGATGCAGGAGACAGATTCGTTGCTGACATGGTCGATGTCTGTGTGCGACCAGAACATCACAAATTACTCCACTCCTTCGACTGGACGACACACAGAGTATTCACGAGAGTTCATGTGCAAAATGGACTGCCGACCAACCACTCGCCAAAAAAAAAGAAACGCTGGAAAACAGGGACAGCTGGTACTCGTACCGAGTTCACAATCAAAACAAGTGAAGAATGAAAAATATGAAATAGACGGTGAAACTGGTGCCGAACACTTTGGTCTAAGAAAAGGAAAAATTATAACCATTTGGATGTCAGTTTCTCATGAGCTTTCATGATTAGACGTCATTTGGGTATTTTTCTTTTATGAGTTGATGATGGGATGCTTCCTTGTTTTTATGGTGGAGCACCTGTTGTTTTTGTAGGCTACAGTTAGAGCTTGATGACCATCACAATATATAATCTCCTGCTTCCTTCTTAATGGGTGGTTTTGATTTTGATTATTTTAAAATGAACCCTCATGGCATGGACTGGGTTCGCCATGAATGGTCGAGGTTAAACCGGACTGGAACAGGAAAAGGGCACAGCCGACACTCCTCCACCGTTAGACGACCCGCAGTATGACTGCGGCCATGAAGATGGTATCATGCAGCACATTATTTCAAATTATTCTGTAGTGAAAGTTCGACGGCAACATAACTGATATCCAGAATGCTACCGCAGCGGTTACTTACAAATCTGAACATCTGAAATAAAATACGGCTAGTTACTTCTCCGTGTCATGCCTAGATGATGGAAGGATGAATGGCGAGTGATTGCCTCCGGCTCGAACCCAGGACCGCTCGATTATGAGTCTAATGTTCAACAGACTGAAAAACTCTGGTTTTAAGAAAACTGTCTTGGTTTAAGATCAACATAAATGTCCGTGTCTTTGGGGACTATCCGGGAACCAAATTAGCAGCTGTTTGCTGGGACAATGACTTATATGCCTAGAACTTGCTCTTTCTGGTCTCTGTGGTGTTGAATGTGGTTCACTTCATAATCATCGGTAACTCGCACTCATTGATGTCAAGCCTGTTAGGTGTTCATTCATTCATTTTCAGTCTCTCATCAAGTCTATTAAATGTCCTAACTTAAGAACCGGAGACAGATTCTGTTAATCTCCATAAAGTTTTGTTATAGTTCTACGATTTCATCTGCCCTGTCAGTTGAAGATGACGATCCATGTACAAAACAGTCCGGGTTGATGTTTAAGAGATAATATAAGGGACGCGGATGGGCATAATTCATGTCGTTTGGATGACCTTAATTATATACTAACTTTGGAAAATGAAATACTAACTTCCTTAAAGATTATAAATTCGCTCCGTCGTTCATTTCATTGGTGGTGACTAACAGACTAGCTTGAAACATCGGAGACGCTGGGTTCGATCCCGGCGGTGCGCATCGTTGTCTTTAGCACTGATTTCTTTCAGCAGAGCGTCATTGCTTAGTCAGTGGAGTGCTGGACTTGGAACTTAGAGGTCCCATGTTTAATCTCCATTCTTTCTTTCAAGGTTGATAAATGAGCAGCACTCTGTGGAAGGAAAACAGACAGCTACACCTTATGCTGGCTGCATATCTATAGATTATGCCACTAAAATGGGCACTATGGCTGATGGCATGGAAATGGAGATCGGTGACACACCATTAACTTTATCAAAACAAAAGCCCCATCATGAAAGTATAAGGAAGACCGAAATTTCAACGGCTACCAACTTTACTTGTTTTCTTTCCCCTCTTTGTCTCCTTTTTAGTAGAGACCATGTTTATCATTTTAAGGACTGCAACTTAGACTGGAGGTTCAGAACTGCCGTTTTTAGTTTAGCCCAGAATGGTGTATGATGAAGCACTACACCTTTTATTTCTTAAACGAAAAATGATATTCGTTTTGGTTTGCAGTAACCATTTGAAAACGCTTGATTTGTTGAAGACAGTTATTTTAGTAGTATGATCACTATCGTATTTCCTGCCGCTAGATTCATCAAGGGAAGGCACAATAGGAGATATCTGCCGACAGGCAATGCATAGATGCACTTCGTATCATTTTAAAGACTAGAAAAATATACTGTCCGTTACCGACGCTTGTTAATTGCTTTTGTTAAAATGCATAGAATCTTGCTTGGACTGAATGAGCAGTGTTTTAAGGCAGTCATGAACGATGGGGTATACAATGCAGTTAGATCACCTAATATAATACCTAACTCGAATTTATTGTTCTTTCAGAGAGAGAAAGCACCGTGTTTTCATAATTGCTGCAACCTGTATTCTCTGTTGGCTTTTATTCATATATCCTGAATTTAATTTTTCTTTTGGTTTTGTTGTTTTGTACAGTTTTGCGATGGCAGTGGTAATCTTAGCTTTTCTTGGATTTTAGTTTTGGTCTTTCACAGTACTGGTTCATAAAAATGGACTATAAAGAACTCTGCAAGAAAAGTGAGCAGCAGCAGCGGCTGATCAAAAAATACGAAGAAAAACTGACAAGTAATGAAGCTATTTAGTCAGTTAATGTCTTCTGTTGAATCTGCCTTGACATGATGGGATGTTTTGCATATCTTTTGGTCGAAACCATGTTTAACTGGAACAGTGAAACTTGCTTCTTACATGCTTTCATTCCAGAATGGAGATTATAGGTTAGGAAGAGCATTCAACCCACAACTCTAACTTGGTGAAGTTAAGGACTGTGAATCGGCTAAACAAACAAGTAATGAAATAGCTGTTTGCTATACTGGGTCAGAGGAGATATCGTTCTTTTGGGTGTTTATGGAAGTAGGGATCTCGAAAGCTGTTGATGCTTCGTCTAAGCAGTCATATCGTCTTTTGGATCGTGTATGTATCAGGGCTACCTTTCTCTTATATGGTGATCTCGTTGGTTGTTTTTTATGAATGCAGGTCTTCGTTCTATGTCGAGTGACCTCTTAAAGTGTCACCGTATTTTCCTTATCTCATAAAGTTTATAATTACTGTGCTGTCGCTCTTGTCCCCTGTGAAGACAAACGACAAATTTCTTCCATTGCGGTTTCGTCTTAAGGAATTATAGAAGTTTACGTTGGGAATGATCTCAGTGGTTGGCATGTCGTTAGTTGGCATGATATTCAGAATATTTGTCGAAAATGAGTAGGTACTGACAAAGACTGGAAAGAGCAAGTATGACATTTAGTAAGGCCTGAGCGATACCATTGTTACGTGATTATTGAATGTAATCACGAATGTATTTTGTCAGTTTTAATTTATTTGCACATAGTATAATCATTTCAGTTTACTATTTTTAACCTCTTCAGATATCATCGCCGCATACAAAAGCCTACTAGCGGAAAAAGAGGCGCTCCAGTCATCATTAGCCGTCCTTAAAGACTCTTGGCGTAATGAAGATGAAACAGTACATGTTTCTACGCTAAATGCTGACAGCTCGTCGACCTATAAAGTGGACGACGAAGTCAAGGCCACTCTTAGTGCATTGTTAAACGTCATCTGTGAGAAGGAAGATGCTGCAGCTGTTCGCACTCTAGAGTCGGAAAACATTGTGTGCCTCCGAAGATCGTTGCAGATTCTTGTGGAAGAGAAGAAGCGCCAGGATGATGCATTCATGGCTGATCGTAAACATTTGCTCGTAGGTTTGCCTGTAGGTTGGCTGTGTGATACAAACTGTAACAGTTTTATACTTAGGCACGAATCGAGGAATTGATGACTGTCGTGAAACATGACGAGAAAAAGTGTGCTCGTCCTCCAAGCTCGGCAAAGTGTGACTATGAATCGGTATGATCACTGTCTATGTTTCCTTCTGGAGGAAAGTTTTCTGTATTAAGTTATGTTCGGCTAAAAGTATGGTAAATCGAGCTGCGTGGAAAAGCGTTCTTCTCCAAGTAGATTTTAAATGGAATTTTTTCATCCTATGACGCTAAGAGAAGATGAGTCGGCCATGTGGTTTGCCTGAGAAACACCCGATAGACACCAAGAATTACAAACTGGACTTCATTGGACCACGGTATCAAGTCAATTTTGCGAAAACACCCTGGGGTAACATGATGGTCAAACTGCCTTGTTAGCGGTAGAGTCAGATGGCGGAAAATGGAGAGTACTGGAGGAGCATCGTCTTGTGTTCATCTTGATAATTAAGCCCATAATGACATAAGTCGGTTAACGGATTTCTCCGTACGTGTCATTCTGTTGTCGCTTTTTAACTTTCACAATGCCTGTTAAACCATTTTGTTTAAAACTAGAATCAAGAACGTATGTTGAATGACGTCATGCTACAGTACAACCAAAAACTACGTGAAGCGGAAGAGCTGCGTGTGAAAATGAAGCGTCTTCAGTGTCATATTGAACATTTGGAGCGTGAATGCTTCGAAAAGGAGGTAATTTGATAAACATTATTAAAGTAAATAATAAACAAAAATGATGCTTCAGTCATTCAAGGGTAGAAACAGTAGTTCATGTCGAAGTTTTCATTAGAACTGTCAAGTTTCAGCCAAGCCACACCGGCTATAAGTCAAACAATAAGAGGGAGAAATCCTACCAGCCCGTCTAAAGTAACAGCTATTGATAGATACTGCTCGGCCCTCTCCATTTTTTGTTGAAACGCCGACAGTTTACAGTGTGGCATTCCCCTCCCGCACTAATTGCAAAACAGACTTTACTTGAATAATATTATATTATAGAATCTCTTATCTAATTCCGCCAGAACTGGTGCAACGATCAGTGAGTATAAACAATACCAGCAAGATTACTGGACATGCAAAAGCGTATCTGGCGAAACGGCAGCTATAGCGACCGCCTTCATGAATATGAAAAAAGTCTGTATTTTATGTCACAATCAAACACTTGTTTGCCTAGTTGCTGGTTATTTGGCGCATATAAGATTGCGGATAATGGACGACCTTCAGATATGGAGGTAAGCTGCGACAAATAGGCATTCGCGGACAGGCTATGATGAAATTACCAGGGTGGGAGTGGTACGTGCTCGACTAGTTCGATCCTCAAAGATTAAGTCACACTGCCCAATGACAGTCTCACGACAAAGCGAAAACAATTCGACCCTTTGAAGAAAAGCTGCCGCTAATGTCACTTGCCTTGCGGTTTGACGTCGGTTCGTCAGAAGCTAGAAGAGAAAGCTAGGATAAATAACCAGACAGGATTGGAGGACCCTTCTGTTCGAGTTTTCTCAGGCCACCGTCAGTTCTGCCAGTGGATGACACAACTTCACACCCTGTGATAACAGAAAGTGTTGTTTCTAGCGCGATTCATCGCTGAACACCACCCAGGGGATCTAAGCGAATAGTATAGTCGAAGCGTCGGCATAAACTCTTATGACATTACTTTTTTTATTTAATGCTCACTCTATTATGTTTTCATTGTTTTCACCCTGTTAATGTTCGTTTTGATCATTCTTTCGTTGTGAAAATATTGAGGTGTTCCCAGAAGTTTCCAGATTTACTCTGCTTGAAAAGTTAGGTTTCGGTTGATTTAAATTTGTGATCATGGCTTTTAGGTCTGTTTTTAGCGGTGCCTTGTGTTCTTTACTGTTCATGATTTGATGGAAAGCGATATTTTCAGTGCTAGAGTTTTAACTAAGCTATAGATTGTTTTCGTTTGTGTTTGAAATACAAAGGTTATAGAAGTAGACTTTTATGAAACGTATTCAAAATTATAAATGTTGTGAATTAGAGCCACGGGTAGAGCTGCTAGGTTATTTAATATTTATTTGTTTATCATGTTAACTCTGATTTTTCATTATCATTCAGATTTGTATGTTTGCATGGTAACAAATCCATTTAGTGGTTGCGCCCCCTAATTGTTTTGAATGTGATTTCATCAAAACAGCAGAAAAACTACATTCCTACTATACACTACAAGATGTTTGGCGTCAAAGGTTCCAATATGAAAAACTAGTTGCGAAATATTTGAGATACTGTATTTGTATTGTTTTAATATGTTCGGTGTACGGAGGTCAGGAAGAAGTAGTTTCTGTTTGAAGAGAATATAGATAGAGGCTGAACAGAGACATTTATTTAGATAGAATAGCAAGAGAATGATGATGCTTTATGAAAATCAGATGAATCTGAAAGAGGTGAAGAAGGAAACGCACATAGCTTGCTGTTTTCACGACAAATGACAATGAAACAAGCGGAAAACGATCATAAAAATATGATTTCTCATGGTCCAGAACTTTGCAAGTGAGGCTATGGACAATTGAACATAATCGTGTGCTTTTCTCAAGATCTTGTAGAGGCAGGGAAAGAATGATCGTACTTTCTGATTCCGGAATGCGCTGAGACCTCTTTCCAAAAGTTGATATGTAAAGGATGACCAAAATACATCTACAAGATCTTAACATACACACATACACATTTGTTCGA